TTTTTTTTTTTTTTTTTTTTTTTTTTTTAGATTATGTGGTTCTGACAGCATGTTGCTGGACTCTTGGACAACCTGTATTTCACATATGCGGAAGAAGAGTACATTCAGCTTTTATTTACACTTTGACTTTTAGCTATAAAGACTTTAATTTTGTCATGACATTGCACTTGTATTAAGACAAGCATCAGTAGCAGATCTTAGAAGGTCACTGATATGGAGACATATTATTTCATGTTTCCTGATCCTAAATTGCCCTGAATATGAAAAAAAAAATCTCTGTGAACTCTGGGTTAAAAAAAAAGGTCATTTAACACTAGTACAGGAAAGAGACACAAAATTATGAAACTTGGGAGGTGGGAACTTTTCACCTCTCTCATGGGAGAAAAATTTCAGTTCACGATCTGCATAAGATGAAAGAGCCTTCCAAGAAAACCGTTTACGGTGGAAAGTTCAACCTAGCGACTTGCTAAACTGCTCGCTTAGAATCCATTCCAGGGAAGCGATCGGTACTGCAAGTTCCACTGAAGCAACAGGAACCTGAAGGCCCTTAGCACAAGCTAGAAAACACTTGCAGTACACCTTGCAAGAAAATGAGTAGCATCCCACCACTGCTCTCAAAGACCATAACAAACCTCTCAACAACTTGAGTGGAGAAGCAGAGCCCAGGTTGCAAGCAACTACTTCATTCATATCAAATAATTTAAAATAAAACATTCTACTCTTTTTAACAGTGAAACAAACTCAACCACTGAAGACTCTAAACTTCAGAAGAAACTGGAATATTTCCATATTTCAAATACCAGTGTGACAGTTCCTTAAAGGCTGTTTTTTGGGGATGGGTGTTTTTTTTGTTTTTTTTTTTTTTGAAGGATAGCCTCTTATAGTAAGGTATTTCCTTTACTTCCTCATTTTTAAACCAAAACAGATAAGTTCCTCCAAATATAACTATCACTGTGACCATCTTAATACAGGTGATCTACAGAAAAAGAAAAACAAAATTAACCTGCTAATTTTACAATTCCAGCTATCCAGAAGACTTTGGTCGGTAGGCTGCAGTCTGTGTTTGGAACTTCCACTCGCACTCCTTCTGAGATGTCCCCCCAGCATGTCCCCATGGGAGCCTGTCATTTAAGTTAAAGGAAAATAAAAATCATCACTTGCTTTACTCCATTTGAAAGTAAAGTATTCGTTTTTGTTTCATTAATGCTTTATTAGTGGTCTTAGAAAACTGGGCTCAGTTGGGCTATGACCAATACTCAAAAACACACATTTAGAGAATCACTTGTCTCTGAAAACAAAATGTGGTTTTTGTGCTGTAACAAATTACTACTGCTAAAATACTGTAGCAATTCTGTGACTCAGTTTTACAGCTGTGGTATGTTGTACATATTCACAATACAGTATGGATCAATAATCCAGGGTGCAGTCCAGGTCTTGGTTCTGACCTCAGTGAGTGACACTAGGGGAAATCTCTTTCAGGGAAAAAATTGTGAATTAATATTCATGCCACCAAGACCAGAGGTTGGTCCACACTCTCTAGAACAGTCGGATTTTTTTTGAGACTGAGAAGAGACCCTCCTTGAACACCTTCAGCTTTAATGGAAACAGGTTTCTCTCATACTAGTTAATGTAGCTCACATGCTTCTGTCTGAATAGGCTTTCACATGACCGCCAAGTGCTCGCTCGACCAGAAACAAGCAGGAGAAGCTCAAAACTGTCAGTGGGAACTGCACCAGTAGATTTCTCAAGGACAGCTTTGATATCATCGGCCAATGCCTCAGTAACAAAAGAAAACAAAAGCTAGTGGGACGCTTTAAGGCTTTTTGTAAATTGTAAATGAAAACAACATTTTAGCTTTATGCTTTATTTGTGGAGTCAACTTGGACTAGACTGGAAATGAAGAAAAGATACTGGATGAATAACCAACTAGTCAAATGTGGTATTTTAGGATCAGTGAGTATGTGTGAAATGCTAAAGTCTCTAGGACTTTCAGTTCATTCAGGGAAAAGCGATTAACCACTCGATCTAGTGAACAGCATCTTCCATGCAAAAAGCAAGCACTTGCAAGTATCAGACCGTTCAAATAATAGTTTTATTTTGTTATTGAGAGGACTTCTGACATCACAATGTCAAATAGAAATATTTTTCTGTTAAAAAGCAAAATAAATTCTGGGTTAGTTCAGAATAGCAGCCGAATTATCCTCAAAGATAAGTGGGGAGGCAGAAATGACATTCCAGTCACTGCAGGGAGTTATCAAGGCAGACTTTGTGAGGGTGAATGAAGGGATCTACTTGTTTCATGCCACATCAAGCAGCCAGTATCTTTCATCCCAGCTACATGACATTTACCAGACTTCTTGTGAACATAAAGGCTGCTTGCAGATGTTAAAAACCAAAAAAACCCAATAAAAGCCAAACTGTGCTCTACTGGAAAAAGCAGTGCGCTACTTCAACCTGGCTCTGCAGCATCTGTAAGACTGGGTGTCTCAGCAGGGGGCTTTTTGGCACTTATCTAAAACTGATGCAACCAGCTATTAGATAAAAGTGCCAAAAAAAGCCCCACAAAAGTGCCAGATCTTTACAGATGTTGGGTGAGGCAGGTTGAAGTAACATGCTGCCTCTTCTGGGCACGCATGGGGTTCAGTGCGGGAACGTGCCAAGTTTAAAATAAAGCTTTTTTGGTTTTTTGTTTGTTTTTTTACATCTGCAAACAACCCAAAAGGATTTAACTCACCAGAATTACCATATTATTCAGTCCCCAAACTCCCAGAAACCAAGATAAGAGGGAAAAGGGAAAAAATGTTGCCCTAGCTTTAAACAACTAGAATTTGGAAGGTCGGAATTTTGCTTGTAATCAACTACTGGCAGCTAGGAGCAGAAAATGTCACATCTGTTATAGCAGGGGAACAACAAGCAATACCTTTCAGAATAAAAATACTGGAGGATGGAGATGCATGAACAGTTTTCCCCATTATGTCCATAACAAGTATGCTTATTGCTTTTTCTGGAAGTTTGGTCTCGTCATGTTCTGCTACGTCTTCCTAAAACCAGTCAAGACTATGGAGCTCTCTGCCTATTTGGCAGAGAAGTGGGGGAAGAGGAGGGAAGATGGCTCATTTTTATATATACACTATGAAGCCTTCTATAGTGGGATTTCTCAACATTATGGGGATAACCCAATCCAGTTATCACTGTTTATTATGGGATAAGTTGTCTTCTTTTGGGAGCTTTTTCCATAGTTGTTAATGCAATCCAGCATTCTGTAGCCACCATCAGATCTTAATTTGCATTAGTGGCTTTTTAGAGAAGGGGGTAATATACTCTTTAAAGCTTACATTTCTGGCTAATCTGCAGTCTTTTACACAGTGCTACATGCTATATACAATTTACCAGTCATTTACATTTTTAATTGATCTAAAAAAAAAGTTACAAAAATCACCTAAGCTGTTAGGGCTTGCTCTTCCTTCTCTCCCCACATCAAATGATATCCAAGTTTTCACAAGGACGTTTTGTTTCTACAATGTGGATTGGTATAGGGGGAAATAGCAGAAAGTTAAATTTGTCCTTGTCTGTGAAAATAGTGGTTCTGCTAGTTTCTCCTACACCAATCCATGTGGCTCTCCCTTTACAAGAAGAGAGCCCTGTTGTGCCATTATCACTATGTAAGAGCTAGGTATTATTACTACTAATAGGATCTCAAAAGGATTATATACAGTGTATCTGATGCACTGTATCTCTTCTCTCTTTCACACCTTATGAATATTCTTAAGGGAGGAAGACTGGATAACCAAGGGCTATAACAGCCATCTTCCTTCATGTCTTCCTTGTCCTTATCCGATAAGTCAACGTTTATAAAGTATTTTGAAATAAATCATAAAGCACTATTTAAGTGCTAAGTCTTAATTGTGTCCTGGCTGGAAGGGTAAATCTGAAGTCTGGATTGGCATAGTATGAACTAGCAGAACCATAATTTACGTGTAAGAACAAATTTACCTTTCAGACTCATGACGAAGAGATCCACCTCACGGTCCTCCCCAACCAAGGAGGATCTGGTTCACCACTTCCTAATCCAAAGACCACTTGTGAGGGTTTATCCATGAGCAGCTGCTACCTTCCCTGCAAAGTAAGTTGCAATCAGGAAGGTCCTGATGGATATCATCCAAATTCAAACCGCAAGGGTTTCCTAAGATAACAAAGCTGACACTATGACTCCCCAGCATGTTAAGTATCTTAGCCTGGTTATTGAAAAGTAGAGAAAACTTGGCAGGCTTTGGGTGGTGTCATAACTTTCTGGCCTCTAGCATTCCGATATAAAAAGTGATTTACAGGGTTAAAAATGCAGATGGGTGCTGCTAATCCCTGAAATTGTGAGGAGTGTTTTGTTACTTGGTCTGCACCAAGTACCTACGCAGAGCATAGCAAAAAGACACTGCCAGGAGACAGAAAGATTGGAAGGATAGCAGTGCCACCTAGTGTAAAAACGTAAGAATTCCACCTTTTTTTAAAATCAACGGGAACGAACAACAGGGTGCTAGGAAAAGAATTTGTGAATAAAAACCTTGCAGTCTAGAATAAAATGAACCCAGAGGAAATACTGAGAAAAATACATTAGAAAAACTTGTTAACTCCATACTGACAAATGGCTGGAAAAAACAATAAATTACCATTGATCTTGCACAGCAAGTTGTACGATAGGAAATAGTGACAAGTGACTAAGTTATCTTTGCTCTGATCACTAGGAACATTTTGTAAGAGTCAGGGTAGCAAACCAGGGAGATTACAGGTGAAAAAGAAAAATACTTAGAAAGCAAGGAAGAGGGAAGTCAGAATTGAGGTTAATAATAGAATCACAAACAGAAAAAAACAAGTATATTATCTTATGATACCAAACTATAATGCAGAGATTCATTTGATTTAAATTATCAATGATAATTTTGCACATGTAGACACATAAAACAGGGCTATGAAAGAGAATGAGATCCATAGGAAGGAGTCCAGATATATAAATTACCATGCTAAGTCACTCACTTGCTGTATAATGTACACTATGAAAAATAGTCACACTCCTTTCACCTCAGTTTATCTAACTGCAAAGTGGGGACAATACTTAGCCATCTCACAAAGGCATTCCAAGACTAAAAATTGGTGCTTGTAAGCACTTTCAAAACAATGGATGTAAGTCAAAACAGAAGCCCAAATTAGCATTATAAGCTTGAAAAGACACCGAATATTTCAGCTTTTTCGCTACAAAGAAACAGCAGGTGCTGAGAAACAAGTATAGAAAGGGGAATAACTTCCTCAGTGTTAAGCATTAACTAATGGGGAGCACAGGAAGGCAAAGATTGGGGCTGCTGAAAACTACTGAGTTGTTAGATAAAATTTACATAGGAAAAAAAAAATCAAAATAAAAACTAATAATTTCTTGTGTGTTGGTGTCCCCTGTTCCTCACATTCTATCCAACTAGCTACACCCACTGTAATTGATATACATTTTTACCTGCTAACATTAGGACTTGTACTGCAAAATCTTACCTACTAAGCAGCAAACTTTGCTTGTGCTTGTAGTTCTGGTGACCTTAGGTGTAATAGGATTGGGACCTATGTGTATTTTACTTTGTCTTACAGATGTAGAACGTGCATTCATGCCCAAAATATGCGACAGGTAATACATACCACCCAATTACTATTATAGCATGCCTATACACATACAGTGAGCCTGCTCTAACATTACAGCTCATCAGAGCAGACTCGATTAATTGAGTCTGTGGGAATGTGGTAATTACCATGATCCAGCAGATTCCAGCATCACATGTATCATCATCCCTGCACTGAAAAATGCTGGCAGGGGTGCTTGAACTTAAGCTCT